CCATTGTACTTTGCAGTTACTATAAAGTCAGGGATCTTGACTGACAATAATATGAAATGTAATTATGACCACTTGTTATGACGAACAAAATCCCAAAAGTATGGAAGTCAGCTTATGTCCTGCCACTACTAAAAGGAGGGGAGGCCACCTTATTAAACAATTATAGACCCATCTCTAAATTGTCAGTTCTGGCCAAGGTTCTTGAACGCCTAGTGAGTGAACAGGTAAAGGTGTTTTTATGTAACAATGACATCCTGTCTAAACATCAGTCAGGCTTCAGAAAGCAACATAGCACCATCACTGCCACAATGAAAGTGGTAAATGATATTACGAGTATTTTAGATAATAAGCAGAGTTGTGCAGCTCTATTTGTTGACCTATCCAAAGCTTTTGATACTGTCGATCATCACATTTTAAAGCAAAGGCTGGTCAGTATAGGCATGTCCAGCCATGCAGTAGGGTGGTTTGTAAACTACCTCTCTGAAAGGTCCCAATGTGTTCAGTTTGATGGGCTGTCTTCTGAGTGGTTAAACATCACTAATGGTGTACCACAAGGTTCAGTTTTAGGTCCGCTATTATTCTCTATCTATATTAATAGTTTAGGTGAAAATGTCGAAGGAGCAACCTTACATTTTTATGCGGACGATACCGTTATGTACTGTGCAGGTCCCTCGATTAACGAGGCTGTTGTTAAATTACAGGCTGTTTTTAACATTATTCAGGCTCAGCTCTCTGAGCTTAAGCTTCTTTTAAATGTGGATAAAACCAAGGTAATGCTCTTTTCGAAAGCTAAAGCTAAAAATACACCAGAGACTGCTTTGGATATTGTAACTACGCAAGGAATACAACTTGAAGTGGTTACCTGTTACAAATACTTGGGTATCTGGCTTGATGACTGTCTCACTTTTAAACTTCATGTCAATAACCTGCTTAAAAAGCTGAGGGTTAGGCTAGGTTTCTTTTACAGAAATAAGTCCTGTTTCTCGCTTGAGGCCAGGAAAAGGCTAGTCACTGTGACCTTTTTACCTGTGCTGGACTATGGTGATTTGTTATATATGAATGCACCTGCCAATTACCTGAGCAAGTTAGATGCTGCGTACACTGAGATTTTTGACAAATTGTAAAGCACTTACGCATCACTGTACCCTGTATACCAAGGCGGTTATGCCATCACTTACTTTACGGAGTCTCAGTCACTGGTACTTTTTCATTTACAAAGCCATGTTGGATAAACTACCATCTTATATCTGCTCCCTGATCTATCTGCGAATTGAAAGTACTTATTGCCTGAGATCGCATGCTGTGGTTTTATTAAATGTGCCAAGTGCTAGGACTGTCTTAGGGAAGAAAGCTTTTAGATGTGCAGCTCCACTGACATTTCAAAAAGAATGGAAAATTACCAAGCTGTACCACTACATGTTTTTAAAGCTCGGTTGGATGCTACAAAATCAGATGCTGTTGGTACCTGTACATGTGGTTAAATATGTAAATTGTAATCCCTGTACATTTTGCTGTATGATGTCCTTTTGTTGTTTATGTTTTTATGTCTTCTTGTGGAACCTACTGCTGCAGGTCTCCCTTGAAAAAGAGATCATTGATCTCAATGGGATTTTACCTGGATAAATAAAGGTTTTGAATTGAATTGAATGCCTAGAACAATAGTCAGTTGCCCAAATTAAAACTCGATATGTAATAGACATTCCAACCCAGTCTCACAAAACGTGTAATAACTACGTTGGTCCACAACGTAGGACGTAGTATTTCTACAAAAACGCCTCTGAAATTGTAAAATCCCTACGTTTTTTTTCACCATTCATTCCAATGGCTGGCGTCTATGTCACTTGATCTTCACATTTCTCCCTGCAGAAAAAAAAACATGGCCGAACTTCGTTTTATTCTCGATGGAAAATGTCTATTTTAAAGTTAGTTTGGCCATTAAAATGCGTTTTGATGTCATTTGATGCGAGAAATATGAGTTGTTATTTCAGATGATGTGTGCAGTGGATGCACATAATCTTTAGTTTGCTAGTTATTACGAAGATTACTTCAGGAGATTGTGTCTATAGGCCTACAACGTTTTCATTGTTACCAAGGTGGTTGCTAGGGATGCTGCTATCGATATTGTTTCTGTTATGTTGTGTAACTGTTTAATGGTGTTATCTTTATTGCTACCCCCTTCCCCGTCAATGTATAGTGTTGGTCCACCGTGCAAACATATTAGTTTAACAAAATCCGCATCTAAAATTGTGGCATAGATACGTTATTTTCCCCTTTTTTCTTTTAACTTTTAAATGTATTTCAGCACAGAAAGAGGATGTTGTCCCCCTAACCCCTATTGGAAGTCCCTTTGGAAGGATTATTGTAATGTGAATATTATTTTAAAACATCAATGAAAATGGATGGTTTAATCCACTGAAGTGGCTCTGTTTGGTCTACATGGAAGTAATTGTATTAGTACATAATACATTCTGGTATAAACTGCAGGTATAATTTGTTTGAACTCACTTCATTTCAGAGATTCAGCACCTTGCAAGCTCTCTTCCTGTGAACGCATATATCTGAATGCAAGGCAACATCCCTGTGTGATGAGAAAGCCTGGGAGGCAGATGATGATTTTGTTTCCCTTTCTGCACAGATAACCTTGACTGTAGTCAGATTTCAATCTGTGTAGGATTACATCTCAGACAGATAAATGAAAACCACTGACACTGTCTGTTGCTGCTGAAGAGCTATAGGCAATCTGCTTGAAGTATTTAGGTTTTTCATTCCAAAAAACATTAGATTCATATTTTTCCTTTTTCTTATTCAACAAAATCTTCTCAACTGAAAAGAGGCAAACAGTGCACAGTGTGATGGTAACATTAGATGTATTTAATCTTATATCCTGTTTTTTCATCCATCGTTTACTTTCAAACTTATGTGACTCTCATGACAACAAACCTACAATGTCAAAACCCTGTTGGTTTCATTATCATAAAGATAATTACAACATCAAATATTACACAGCAAGACCTGCAATCTTCCGGTACACACATATGGACAAGCGTACATTTCAACAGAACTGTATGTCTTGGGGATCACCACAGAAGGGCAGCAGAGGGCAATTCAATAGCCACATCAGGCACTCTCACTCCTCTGCATCAGATCAGCCTGTCCAAAAATGAGACATTGTTTCTGCTGACTGCAGTTACTGTCAGAAAAAGTTTAAGCATTTCTTCAAAGTTAACAAATAAAATTGTTTATGTGTTTTTTTTATTCTCTGCACTTCTCACATGTTTAATAGATAGATAGAGATTAACCTGTTCACCTACATTTCAGTAATGTTAAGGTCATTTCACTGTGATTCAGTCAAATGCCAGAAAACAGATAAAAAGCCAGGTAGATAACTCAGTAATCTTTTATGCAAACAACCCCAACATGTGCGAATTCCAGTTTCTCAGGTGTAGGGATCTGATGTTTTATTTTTTGGGTGGAATTAAATTAAATATCTTTACATCAGCTGAAAAATAAAATAAATGACATACAAAACAATTACATTTAATTGACAGTTAATCAAATGTAACTCCTTATTATCAGGGTGTACCAAGAAGTCAGTTAAGTCGCTTCAGCTGATTCAAAATGCTGCAGCTCGTGTACTAACCAGAGTTAGGAAAAGGGACCACATTACTCCTGTTCTGGCTGCCTTACACTGGCTCCATAGAACACAGGATAGAATTTAAAATTCTCTCGCCTACAAAGACCCTAATGGGCAGGCGCCATCTTACCTTAAAGAACTTATTATACCCTACTGTCCTACTAGGGCATTGCGTTCCAAGAATGCAGGGTTGTTGGTTGTTCCTAGAGTCTCTAAAAGTACAATGGGAGCCAGAGCCTTTTCTTATCAAGCTCCACATTTGTGGAATCAGCTTCCAGTTTGTGTTCGGGCGGCAGACACCCTATCCGTTTTTAAGAGTGCGCTTAAGACCTTCCTTTTTGATAAAGCTTATAGTTAGGGCTGATTAGATTCAGCCCCTAGTTTTGCTGATATAGGCTTAGTTTGTCGGGGGACATCTTACTTCTTCCTTCTCTCTGTCTACTCTCATGTTCCGATTAACCCAGCTTCCCCAAATGTCTTTCTTTTTGGTGTCTATATACGCCGGGATCCGGAGTCATGGATGATCCTGCGGTCCTGTGTCCTGGATCGCGAGCCCTGGATCGCGAGTCATGGCTGTGGTCCTGGATCATAGGTCCTGGATGGATATCCTCGTGGATTCATCTTCCTATTATACACACATGCATTTCCAAACATTTGGACTACCTATGTTGCAAATGTATTATCTTTTCAATTTACACACGGCATCTATTGCACGTCTGTCCGTCCTGGGAGAGGGATCCCTCCTCTGTTGCTCTCCCTGAGGTTTCTCCCATTTTCCCCTTTAAACTGTGGGTTTTCTCCGGAAGTTTTTCCTTGTACGATGTGAGGGTCTAAGGACAGAGGGTGTCGTATTGTCATACTGATATTTTGTACACACTGTGAAGACCACTGAGACAAATGTAACATTTGTGATATTGGGCTAGGCTATATAAATAAACATTGATTTATTTATTGAAATGAAGATAATATTCTTCCTTTGCTTTTTATTTTTTTAAATAACATGCTATTCCTTGTGTTTGGGCAACAATGTCTAGGATGAGTTATATATTAATACAATAACCATAATCATATCAATAATAATTACAATAATGTTAAATAAACAACAGAAATAATCACTGTCCTATAATAATAAAAATGATAGTCTTTGGTAACCATAATGATAATAATGAGGCTTTTAAGAGAACACTCTATAAATGTGTTTTCCTATTCCTCTTGTACGCATTCGTGCTGCTCATTATAAACTATTTTACATAAAACATTTCCTCACATCTCAGACGTTTGTTTTACTTTTGTCACAGCTGTCAAGTTTGTCATCAGTGACGTCAGTGGAGGTTGTAATCAGTCACGTGACCCGCGCAGGTCTGGATAAAGCGCAGCTCGGGACTACACAGGCTGTTCGCATTCATCCAGTCCTCTGTACATTTTATTTTTTGTAACGATAAAACATGAAGACAGTGATACAAATAGTCAAAGCAACCACTGAGGATTGATATTTCCTACAACAGAAACCTGGGGTTTGTTTCTGCGCAGGCTCATATTCGACTGATCATCTTTTAACCGCGATGTGAGTAGATTCTTCTTTTACTAAGAATAAAAACAAACGACGCCCGCACGCTTATGAAGGTATTTTTCACGATTGTGTCTTATATACTGTCATCTTGTTTGTGATTGTGTCTGTTAGCGGTTCAAACGAGGTCTTTGATTGATTATTTTCGTGTTGGAAGATTGACAACTGACCGACACAGTTAACATATTATATTATTGTGTCGTCTAGCAATAATACTGTAATGCTTTATAATGAGCATTGCAGGCTTAATGTTATTTATTATATGTAGTGTGCGTCAATTAATCACAAAGAAGTAATGGATGCTCTTTTTATTGCATTCTGTATAGATGCTCCATAAGATGGCTTCTTGTGATGTGGACAGAGGAGAAACCCCCTCAGTAGTATTGTGGCCGCTACAGTCAGTTGTGTTTTTTTAAAGGCACATTTGCTGGATTTGTGGTAGACCAGATATAAGCATTGCATAAAATGCAACGTTGCAAGCTTTTAATGCAGGGTTCTTTTGCATGTTTTCTAGCACCACATTGTGATATTTTCTCCTCCATCGTTCTGCTCTATTTATCCTGGGCGTGTGTGGTTTCCTCTTTGAGCAGCCAGGGTCTCCCCTGTCAAACATAAGGAATGCAAATGGCTGATGAGGGGTTTTCTTTATGGCTAAGAGGGAACAGATGCTGAGTGAAATGTGGTGGTGGTTCCCTCTCCAGATCAAATTGCCCATCCTCCATGCCCTCCTGCTGTTAGCACACCCCTTTAATCCCTGCAGAGCCTGAGTGTCCAGCAGCCTGCCTCTGTCCCTGGGGTCATCATTACAACAACAACAACAAAAAACAACAACAACAACAACAACAACAACAACAACAACAACAACACTGTGATGCTCAGTGCAGAAGCCAAAGGCCTTGATTTCACATCACATCACAACATTGCATGCAGTGTAAAGAGAGGCTAAATCTAAATCTAAAAGATACATTTCAAAATCCTGCATGGCTATTTGGGGCACAATGTAGAACAAATAAACCTTCATGTATGAAATATTCAAAGGTGTGGATGACAAAATTGAAACTTCTCCCATTGCTTATATAATTTAATTTAATTCAAGAAAGCATTTCGAAATATTGTATCACTCTTTAATCTTTGAATAAATAACATATATTGTCAAATAACAGTTTTGTCAAAACTGACAGTTCTTTACAAACTGGTTTTGCGAACCAAAATAAACATAATATTTCTGATTTTAGTCGAGTCCCTAATGTTTCCCTAGATACTACGGTTTTATTTATATCCATCAATGGTACAACCAAGAGGTAGCAATATTTTTAAATGAAGCCCTTGTACATACAGAAATGTAATGTTTTCAGAAAATCAAAGTGCTTGGCTCCTTTAGGGTGAAATTAAATGTTGGGAACATTATGGCTCAAGTGGTACAAAATATCATCAATCTGTCATAATCGCAAAACATCCTGATGGAGGTGACTCATAAAAACATTAGTGGAATGGAGAAGTTGGCCTGGTAGCTGCCAAGAAGAGAAAATCCGCCATGTCCTTATTTGTGCTGCTTTCAAAGCATAAAAAAAATGGTTGTGAATGAAAAGATTGCAGTTTGTGGGGAGGCCTTGAGTGACTCACTTCCAGTCATGGCCTAACATGGGATTTTCTACAATAATTGAGCAGGAAGAGAGTTGAAAATTATGTAGAAAAATGAAATATTGAGTGTTTGAGTCAGGTTTATTAATAGGCTTTTTTTCACTGAAGCAGGTCTCAAAGGATTAAAGAAGACACATTTGTTTTAATCTAGCCTGATGGACTGAACAGTCGAAGGGATATAATACCGTGTACAAACAACACAATGACAGTTATAGGCTAACTTTCTATTGTAGTGCAGCCTGCAGAGAAATATGAAGCGCAGATACTAATGGACAACAGTTAACTCGATATAAATACAGACAGAAACTATTATTATAGTTGTTGAACAGAATCTATCTGTGGTAGCGACCCGGTCTGTTAGACAACTTGCATGTTCCCGGCTCGTTTCAGCACATTTTCACAATTTTAGTTCAGTTTTGATGTTGTTGCTATGACAAGGATTAGATATCATTTTGGGCATGCGAGTCCTGAGGGGGAGGAATAGATGCAGAGGATGTACTGTAGTCGTAGTTGGAGCTAGAGATTGCATCTATATTTAATCCTGAACCTTCCAAGTATTAAACGACACATCCAGCATGCCATCGCTTTTATATTTAGCAGCATATGTGATACTGAGAGGAGGTATTATACAGACTGGCATAAGTAATTACATTACATTACATTGCATTTAGCTGACGCTTTTATCCAAAGCGACTTACAATAAGTACATTCGACCAGGAAGACACGACCTTGAAGAAAACAGAATCATATAAGTACATCAGGTTTCATAGAGCCAAACATTTCAAGTGCTACTCAACTGGCTTTAGGTAAGCCAGTCCTTTATTAGTATAAAAGTGCTTCCATCCAAGTAATGTGTCACTTAAAAGAAGGAGGGAGCTACGGAAAAGAGAAATGTTTTCTTTGGTTGTTGGCAGTGAAAGTATGCCAGTTGATTTTCATACTTTATCAAAACCGTTGTGTTTAACAGCATTTTCATCATGACTGAAAGCTTTTACAGTGACGATAGAAAGTTTGTGAATCTTTGAGTGACCTGAATAATACAAATCCTCAAAATGATACTTGCCAACTACATACAATCATCTATTTGGAATACTGATCCACATATATGAAGTCTGTGACGTGGTATATTTTCTTCACATCATCTGCTGTTAAAACGCTTCAATAGTAATTAGATATAATAGGAATTGACAGCATTTGTCTTCTTTTATAGCCACACCAAAATGGAACATTTAAAAAAAGGTGTCTTTTAATATTACTCTTCTCAGTAAAATTGCTTTAGTGCCACTTGTTTGTAAGTGCTAGAAAAAAGTTTAACTCATGGAGCAACAAGAAAAAGTTATAAAAGAATACCTTTTTTAAATGAGCATCAATGGTAGACACAACATCACATCCTAAGTGTAAACATTCACAGAACTTTCAGTTTTTCAGAAATTGATGGTACAGCTCATAAAAACTGAATTATAACAATAAAAAAAAGAGTGAATATGAGTACAACTAGTTGTTTTATCCATAAGTGCAACTATATATTTATATAAATATAGCATTTTCTGCAGTTTTGCTTGCTGAGTGATCAGTTATATCCCCAAGGCTCAACACTGCAGAGCACAAAATAACTCATCTGAACAGCTGTCAGCCAGTTAATCAGGGAAAACACTCGTAAACACATGTAGGCCAAAACACTGCAACTTAATGGGCAACCTTATGATGATAATTCATGATTATGAAAGACAACTCTCTGATGTACTGAGCAAATGAGCAGGCTAATGAAACAGGAAAATATGTCTCCAAATGTAGTTAGTAACTGGTTTCTGAATAGTGTTATGGTTCCTGGTAGGCTCAGATATGTGCATGCTACTATAGATTATCTTCCTTTTTTTCCATGTTTTCATGTTAGCATTGAGTTTTACGCCATAAGCCTGTAAGCAGTGCTTAGCTTCCTGCTCCATCACTCGTCCAGTCAGGGAACAGCACACACATCCATTAGCTTTAAAGCCAAAGTCCTAAGTGGTTGAGATATAGTCACTGCTTCTCGTGTGCCAGGAGTCCTCGCAGTGACACATCCAGCGCACAGGAGGGGAATAACTTTATGCTAAGTCCTTCACATCCCAGTGGGGCAATAACAGGCATCTGTTTATCAGTGTGCTGGTGAGTGTGGAGGCCCTGCGGAGGGAGATAAAGCAGGCTCTTCAGCAAAAGCACAATAAGCCAGCACAGAGCAGAGAGCGCTTCCAGGCTTTGTGATGAAGCTAGAATAACAAGCTGACTCACAGGCACTTCTTCTACTCCTTTCTTTTTCCTGACATTGTTGAGCGCAGAATATATGTCGTCTGATTATTACCTTGCTGAGAGCTCAGAACAACCTTTCGTTGCACTTCGATGCACCCCCTCTTCATTTACCAATGTTCAATGTTCTGTTATTGTTCTGGTACTTTTCCCTTCTGCACACTTTTTTTTTCCTTTCTACACAGGCATGTGTTTTATTTTACATAATCAGTCATGGCATATAGCGAGGTCAGTGGTCTTAAGCCCACCCATATTTCTTTTTGAAATATGGTGTTTTTGCAGACAGGAATGCCCACTAAATGCTTCCAGATGCTCTCATTATACTGATGTTTCTTTAATATAGTATGCACTTGTTAAAGCGTATGTCTATTTTACATGCTGCATGGAATCTCGGTCTGTGTGTTGATTCAGGGAGACAATTAATACAGTATGCTCAGAGAGGTACTTTCCTGATGGCGAACGCATATTTTCTCTTTTGTTTTTAAGAAAGACCACAGCTAGCAGTATCATTCAAATGCATAACGGAAGCCCCCTCCTCACTGCCCTTCACTTTTCAGCCCACAGTGTGGGAATGGTAAATGATGGAGGATAAGGGGCCTCGTGTAGCCGACTACTTTGTGGTTGCCGGTTTCACCGACTCATCCAAGCCTCTGGAGGACGAGCTCCACTTTGATGATGCCTATCCCAAGTCTGTGAAACCAAACGCCCCCATCACCGACGTAGCTGTGGTGATCCGCTCCCTGGGTGAAGAGGTGCCCCCGGGTTTCACCTGTGTTGAAAGCACCCCCTCAGGCCTCTCTGCAGAGCTCAATGCAGCCAGCCTCAGGGGCCCTCAGATATTCCTGTGCTTCAAACGAGGCAGAGATAAGCCCCCACTGACAGATCTTGGGTAAGTAGTAATCCTCAGTCACTGACCCTTTACTCAGCAAGCACCACTAATCGCTTCTTTGCCTTGGGTCACTTTAATCTGCTTTAAACACATCCTCTAATTTGACATCTCTTCCATGAATACATTATCAGAGCACTCCACTGATATTTCTTTCAGATTTCTTGTTTCAAACTTACCCAACACGTCTTTCGGTTTCAGGATTCTGTATGAGTGGAAAGAGAAACTGAAACCTGGATGTCACATCGTCCAGACCACGCCCTCAGGTCGCCCCGCCAACATCAGCAGCTCCTCGTCACAACGCATCTACATCACCTACCGCCGTGCAGCCAAGAGCCAGCCTCACACCTCACTGGCCGTCACTGATGTCTGCATCATCATCCCCGGCAAGGGGGAGACGCCCCCCCACACCTTCTGCAAGGTGGACAAGAACCTCAACAGCAGCATGGTTGGTTAACACACTGAAAACACAATAACTCCAGTCTCCAGTGTGTCTTTATGAATAATGCAGGTTTTGATTGATCTGTAATGTCTTCTCTCCTATTCCAGTGGGGATCCTCAGTCTACCTTTGTTACAAGAAGTCTCTGGCTAAAGCGAACACAATCGCATACAAAGCAGGTAAAGATGTGTGCAGAATTTGTATTATGAGCTAAGTGCTTAAGAATTCTCAACGAGGGCATTTCATGAATGTATTCTGCCTGTAAATGAAAATACAATGGAGTTATGACAACTGTTTCATACAGTATTTTGTGTATTGGTGTCCAGGTCTGCTGTGTAGGTACCCTGAAGAGGACTATGAGTCCTTCCCACTGCCCGAGTCCGTGCCTATGTTCTGCCTGCCCATGGGGGCAATGGTCGAGTGTTGGCCAGCACACACCAAACACTCCCTGCCTGTTTTTTCCACATTTGTACTGACGGGTGCCTCTGGAGAAAAGGTAAAACAACCTCCTTATATTTGTGTTACCAATAATAATGTTCCTTTTCATAATCCTTTGCAAAACACACAAAAACATTCATACTGATTTTGACAAGGATCCACCACTCTGTTCAGAGACCTGCGATTTTTATTTACATCATCATTCATTAATTAGATTTCTGCTTTTCAAAACCTAAATTGTCCCTTAATTGCATCATTTCAGCCAGCCTCTCCAACTTCCTCCCTGTGCGTTATAATCCCTCATGGATTAGTTTGTTGATGAACTGCAGTACTTTTTCGTCGAAAGTCAGACAATTGTAATGAACTTCAGGCCTTGACTGGAATCAAAAATGGTCTACGGGTTGTGTTTGGAATACTAAAAGGCTGAAGTCTTTGAAAGCAATGCAGCATATAATATTTTTTGCAGCTCATCTTTTGAATAATGGATAGCTCATGCACCACTTGGGCTGTCACATACGTTTTAAACGCTGACTGCCTCAGTGCTCACTGTTGTTCCCTGCAACCTCTAGTTTGCAGACGAGTCCCCTGGTACTTTACGCCTGAAATCTTCTGTTTATTTATTTGGGAGGAACAACTTCCAAGGACGGATAAGAAAATGTAGCTGATTTATTATGATGAAAACTCTCTTGTGAAGCAGCCATAACAGCTTACCTTAATAAGTTATTTCAATGGACCTGTGACTGCTGTGGCTTGTTACTTTGTGAAGTTTGCATCAGGATGTTAGCAAGTCTTTTTTATCTGTGTTCTTGTGCTTGTTCTGGATACTTGTTATTCAGATGATCAGATTACATTGTGATCTTTTTGCTTGCAGGTGTACGGAGCGGCCATCCAGTTCTATGAGCCTTTCTCAGAGGAGGATCTGTCTGAGCGTCAGCGTTCGCAGCTCGGCATGGCAAGCTCTGATCTGGGGTCTGATGGGAGCCGGAGTGTTTACAGCAACAAGAGCATCTGTCTGCTCTCCCACTGGCCTTTCTTCCAGTCCTTCAGGAGCTTTCTCACTTTCCTCTACAGATACTCCATCTCTGGCCCACATGCCCTGCCTATTGAAAAGTAAGATTTGTTTTCATTCTCTTTGTTGATGTCTGTCAGTCCCTCTGCTTCAAATGTCTTTGTCTTGCCCTTATTGCTTAGTTGAGTAATTTTTATTTTACTTGCAGGCACATCTCTCACTTCATGCAAAATGTGCCATTCCCCTCGATTCAGAGACCACGCATCCTAGTGCAGGTGAGCTCAAAATGTGAAATTGTCCTCAAATCTGAATGCTTGCATCATTTTGTTTGACTAAAATGTATTTAATCCCGCTGTAGTTGTGAGCTTAATCCCTTCCCGCTCTAACACTCTCCTGTGTGTCTTCCACAGCTGTCTCCACATGACAGTCTGATGCTGAGCCAACCTGTGTCCTCTCCACTGCCTCTCAGGTAAAGAAACATCACTAACATACCACATTATTACATCAACACATACTATATCTGATGAATTTTTTATTTAAAACCATTGGTTTGATTTGTGTTTTTAGTGGTGGGAGTCTGTCCACATTACTGCTGAATCTGGGCCCGAAGAATGCAGCCACTCTGCTGGTGCTGGCCGTCACCGAGCACAAGATCCTGGTTCACTCCCTGCGCCCAGCTGTGCTCACAAGTGTTACAGAGGCCCTCGTGTCTGTAAGTCATTTCAAATCCAATCAAACTGTATTAGTATTGCACTTTTCATACACAAAGCTAACTCAAAGTGCTTCACAAACCAACCACAATTTATACAAAATTACTATCTCCCACTTCCTAGGTATAACCAGAGTAACACATAGCTTTTTGATTTAAAAATCACTTAATACAAACGCAAGACTGAAAAAATCAGGAACAAAATAATAATAGAAAACCCCAAAAATGTAATAGAAATAATAAAAAGGAATAAAATAAGAATAATATATCAATAAAATACAATTCAGCGAAAAAAACAATTAAAAAGCTGGGTCTTGAGTTTGTCTTTGTTTTCACTTTGGGTCTGATGAAAAGGTCAGTACCAGAACACCTGAGGCTTCTAGAGGGCTCATAGGTCAAATCCGATAAAAAGCTATGCCCAAGACCATTAAGAGCTTTAAAACCAATTTTAAAAAAATGGTATTGATGCTGTAGCTCACAGGGAGCCATCACAGAGACTTTCAATGTATTATTTAAAGAAATCAGAAAGATTGATGAGGATCTCACAAAATCTCTTGTGTCTCGTGTATGAATCGATCATATTGTAAATTTTGATAATCCTTTTCAGATGATCTTCCCCTTCCACTGGCCGTGCCCGTACATCCCTCTGTGCCCGCTGGCTCTGGCCGGTGTGCTAAGTTGTCCTTGCCCTTTCATTGTGGGTGTGGACTCTCGATACTTTGACCTTTATGTGCCCCCATCTGACATCAGCTGCGTGGATCTGGACACAAACACAATCTCCCAGTAAGTCCCCTATAACTTCAACCTCTCTGTGATATATGTCCACCTTTAACTTTAAAACACCCAGCCAAAAATAATCTACCCATGGTTTAGGTTTTTATAAGTCTGATGTTGAAAGGTCTTCCCAAGGTTATCTGTAACTGTCAGTGAGAGCGTCTTATGTAATGATATGAGCTGGAATGAGAAATGTTCTTTATACACAAAAGCACATTTGGGTTAATGCTGGTCTCCCACATCAATTTCAAAAGCTGTTTGCAAAAGATTAAATGTTCAGTGCTGATGTCAGTTAATCCGTCTCCCTCCTTATATATTTTTACAATGTTTCTTGACTGTCCTCCCCTTTAATGAAAACCATATGCTGTGCTTTCAGAAAAGAAGACAAGAAGGCTTTAACGTGGAAAATCTTGCCCAGGAGAGCCTGTAAACATCTTCTGAATACCCTGAATAAGATCTATCAGCAGCTCACTGAGGGTGAGTCCAGTCTGATGCTGATGTGGCCTTTTATATTTGGATTGATGAATAATTTATCTCGAGTCTGTTGATCTAGCCTTTACAGACCATTTTACAGGAAACTCATTGGATGCTTACACTGCTATATGAAACCACAATGTTTAGTGCATCCCAGGAGATATGAAGTGTAATTTAGTCTTCATCTGCTCCTGCTCCACCTGCCTGATCGAGATGTACTTAGATTAGTCATTTACTGCAATTCCCAGAAATGCTTTCACCCCTATACTCAAATTTCAGCATATCAAGTGGCTAAATGTATTAAGGTCTATAAAAACAGAAATATCAGCCTCTTCCCTACAATGTATTTTCTCCTTTGTGATGGTTAAACATTGTTAAAATGAATTACCAGCCGATTAACATTGATCTTTGATGTTTCCTGCTTTCACACCGTGGTTTAGCTGAACTGAACAAATTATGAAAATTGTCATACATCACGATACGTATACAAAAAATGAATTGCTTGCTAAAAGCTGTGTTGCTCTCTGGCATTGTTGTTCCACCATTTTGGTTCAGAGTGAATATTGTTTACAGACTCTTGGTCCCCAGAGGATGAATACTACTGACTTTTTAATAGATTGCCATGACATTTGGTACAGTCATTCAATACAGACTGTAATCTTTCGTGATCTCCATCATCTAAAATTGTATTTGTTTTTGCAAATACCTGCAAAGTGAATTGCATTGTCTCTGGCTGCAGTAGGGTGATTTTTATGCTGATTATATCTTCCTTTAGCACCACCAAATCTTCATTGTCTTAATTTATCACGTGAAATACATATCTTTTGGAAAATGATTGGCACAAAATAGAGTTCAGCTTTTAGAATTAATTCCGATCTTTCTCTCGAGTCATCATGTTACAAGAAGTCTTTCAGTTTCTTGACAACCGTTTATCCGATCAACTTCACACTTCAGTGGGTGCATTTGAAACGACCCAAGGAAGTACAATGTCGAGTGTGAAAGTGTCTCGAGCGGTTTCTAGAGAAAGAAGCAATCGGCCAAATGAGCACAGCACTCCTTATATTATATTTATTTATTCGTTTGTCCAGTTCTTGGTCTTTAGGTAAATACCTGCAAAACTAATGACTTTCCCCCTGCTCAGCTGTACTTCATTAGTAATAACAAATTACCTTGGCTTAGTTTATGCTGGTTGTCAGCATTATTTTTCACTATGCCAAATGCATTTTAGAAGGTAAAATAAATAACTGTCATGTTGGCAAATTGATGTATAATCAGAGTTATGTGCTCGTTTAAAAAAATAACACCCAACCTTTTTGATAACAACAATAACTTCTTAATATTTTGTGCTTCATTTCGATGGTTTTAAATTGGCATATTTGCTGTTGTTCATGTGCTCATGCGTTCTACATAATGTGTTGTCGTGTGCCCTCAGGTGGTCAGCTGAACCGTGAGGATGTGCATATGGAGCACACAGTGACTGACAGTGAGCTCAACGGGGGGAAGAGCCTCCACACTCTGGAGCTGGAGATCCAGGAGGCCTTCCTGCGTTTCATGGCGGCCATCCTGCGAGGCTACCGCTCCTGCCTGCTGCCCATCACACAAGCCCCCTCTGAAAAGACCACCGATGCCAGTTCCCTCTTTGACATACAAGGTACACTTCAGTTTTAACTGCAATACCTTACCTTATTCAATCACAAAAACACGCTGACAAGCTATTTTTGTCATGCCTATACGTGATTCAGGGCTGAAGCAGGACAGGGGGTTAAGGTCTGAGTGCTCCTTCATCTAAGTTTGGCCTAAATCACAGCTGAAATGACTAATGATTTAGCCGAAGCCTCAGTGGAAATTAGGCTTGAATGACAAACCGGGGAAACGGCCATGATTAACAGCACAATGTCCCCTCACATCTGTGTGCTCTTATGCAAGCGGAGCAGCCGAGATCAAATTGTTTCATATCACAGTATTCATTTCCTGTAAATGTTGGTTAAGCCTGCATGTTGACCCCGCTAACGTTCCAAACCGGTTTGATGACTAAATGTACAATCATTTGTAATCTTATATCAATGCCCACATGTCATGACATAATGTCTTTTGTGCCACAGGTTTTCTCAAGAGCAGAGACCGCTCCCACCAAAGGTTTTACTCCCTCATGACAAAGACTCAAATGTTCAGCCGTTTCATAGAGGAGTGCTCTTTCGTCAGTGATAAAGACGCCAGCCTGGCCTTCTTTGATGAGTGTGTTGATAAGGTGAGGAGCAAATCACTTGCTGTCCTCTCAATTAGGATGTCTTAATTAAGGTCTTGGTTTAATTTGAAGGCCTTAATAAGTAAATAACAGGAACTAATCAAAATAAACAAATACATTTAAATTGTAATAAGCATCTCCCTTGAGCCTGGTCTGAACATCAATGCTGAGCTTTTCTAATCTATAGTATCTTCAGCTACGTCAAGTTATTTTGTGTTTTCTTTTCTGCAATTTCTACTACTGCCCTCCTCTTCTTCTTTTCTGATGTTCTGCCTTTTGTCTTTTCTGCTGCTCTGTTTGTCATCATGGCCTATTGCCTGGTAGCTATACACCACTGGAGGCAAGGTAAGAGCTTGTGTTGAAGCTTTTATGTTTGTGAAATTCATTCTTTTTTCAAACAGTTTTCCCTTTTTAGCTGTAAGTGTTTTCCTTTGTTCTTGGCACGTGACTCAGCCCAGAGTATTTTGTCTCTCTGTACTGAATAAACCAAAGTTAGGGGAAGGGAGTGGAGCTAAAAGTGCAGGAGACATCTTGGATGTGAGGATGTGCATTAGCTGTCAGTGTGTGTCAGCTATCTGCAGTATTGAACTAGGTGCCATAATGAAGCACAGAGAGGTCATGCCGAACTGTTCGAGACTCTGAGGTTAGGCTGACACAGTGGAATTAATCATTTTGTGCTCGCCTTTCACTGAGATGACTATGCACTTAGAGTCTCTCTAAATTATAACACAGAAGAATGACAGAGAAAGACGGAGGCGATTATCCTTAGCTGTCAAAATGGTTTTTTTGTAGAAATCCCAGAGGATGTTGTCCCGCTAATTGTTAGTGAGAGGGTTATTCATTTGAGGATTTGACAGCTTTGAACACAACCTTCCCACACATGTGTTGTAACACATACAAAAAGACAAAACATTGCACTATCCTCCAAAAAACATCTCTGTTCTTACAAACTTGTGCAATCAGGAAGTCACGATTACATCCTGCACACAGTCGGAGCTCCTGTTAAAGTGGTCATTGCGGTTGTTATTGAGAAGTGGAAGCATTGATTCATTCAGTGTCAATGCTGCTGAGGTTGACAAAGAGTGTGTGATTGAGAAAGACCTCTTGGGTGTAAGAGGAAGGACACAGCAGAATCGAAGCGAGGGTCAAAGAGAGTTAGCTGACAGAATCATCCACTTGACTGAGTGGAACAAATCCTGTAACGCAGTAGCACTGGGTATTCAGCAGCTGACAAAATATTAACGTTTTTGTAATGCTCGTGTCCAAGATAAGCTGGTAACAGATTCCGATAAGCCAAGTGCGTGCACATCAGCATAGCAGGCTTTTTATGATCTCCCGTAAAGCTTTCTGTCATGATTTTCTCCTAAAAGAGAATGTGGCTATACCTTGTAATGCAACACAAAGGTCAGGAAGTCAGACAGGAAGGCAAAGGTTTCTACATTTTTCTCCATATAGTGGATCTGTCAGTTCTGAGCTGAAGAAAATGTGGCAGTTTAATATGAAGCACTGCTGTCAAAGTGGTACAATTTAATTGTTTCATGTCCCTAGAGAAACATGGCATTCATTTTGTCCAGGTCACTGCAGCCTGGATTCATTCAGTCTTTTGGGAAACATATTATCAACCCCCAGACTTGGCAGTGCCCTTTAGATAAATGGAAATGGGGCACGAGCCATATTTCGGATGTAGATGGACTCATTACTGACATCTGTTTGTCCTCAGTGACCCTCACAACTGATCTGATTAGAGGGCCCAGACAGTATCAGATGCCCAAAAGCCCCCAGGCTGCATTGTGTTTCATGGAAAGCTGAGAAGACAAAACAGAGGGGAAAATTACAAATATGTTTTTCTCTCGAAACCCAGATGGATAGTGAGCGACCAGAGGAAACCAGACTGATGGAGCTAGATGAATCCCACCGCAGCGAGCACACGGTGTACGTCAACCCTCCGGAGCTGCCCCCACTACCACAGGGAGAGGAGCATCCTCTGTGCTATAGGTACCACAGATCAATCTCTTAAGATGGGCTGTTTCTTTTGTCTGACACGCACTTCTCATCGACCCTGGGTGCATACCGTAAAATGTCTCTGTTGTTGCAGAATTTGTTACTGCTTAAGGGATTTGTGATTATTTTGAGCCTCGCTTTAGGATAGATATGTCAGTGTTCAAGCTCACAGGGTGTCAGACAAACTATTGTGCTTGTCACTCGGTTTGCCACTGTTCATGTTGGATTGTTCTCTATTTCAGTTTATGTGCCAATGAGTGATTTTATGTCTTTCTGCAGCTACTCTGGATTCCCTGTGCTGAACGCTGAGCTACTGGAGCCGCTGGACGGACCAAATCCTCCTTCAGCCGGCATGACCTCACGTCACAGCAGCCCAGCCAGCCCCACGGCCATCTTCAGGCGCTCTAAGCAGGTCAGCCATTAGAGTAGTGAGAGATTTAAAATACATTCGGTCTTAGAGGTGAAGAAGGTTTTATTGATCTATAAACATAATTTTCTAAAGACTAAAATGTTCCCTGTTTTCCCTGTCTTTTATCAGCTTTTGATATTTTAAAACACAACTTACCTTTTTATTGTTCAATCTGATACTTATTTCAGAGTATTTCTTTCTTTTTTTTACGTTTGTTATTTTAAGATTTTAGCTCATTTTACTGCTGCATTCCTTCTCCACAATCATGGCGACAAGAATCGTTAATGCAAAATGCCAATGGGGTTGCTAGAGGATGATAAATGATCCCGACATGTGATGTTTTTTTCTTTCTCAGGAGATCAAATCAGCTCAAAGGATGGCCAAAACCTATTCCTCAATGCCTCAGATGTGGTCCAAGTGTCTGCTGCGCCACTGCTATGGCCTCTGGTTCATCTGCCTCCCAGGCTTTGTTGACACCTGTCACTCAAAGGTGCGGGCTCTGCGTACAGCTTACGATGTGCTGAGGAAAATGCAGGACAAGAAGTTGCAGGCTCCAGATGAGGTGAGAAACTGTTTAAGACATCACACAACTATATACACATTAAGCATGAAGTTTAATATCCTGGTGTCTTCTGTCCAAGGTGTGTTACCGTGTGCTACTGCAGCTGTGTGGGCAGCACAGCCAGCCAGTCCTCGCTGTCAAGGTGTTGTTTGAGATGAAGAAAGCTGGAGTTCAACCCAATGCCATCACCTATGGGTACTACAACAAGGTGGGTGTATGTACTGTACATCCACATAAGGATGAAATACACCAACTGATCTGACTCTTGAGTCAGACAGATTCGTTTAAATAAAAATAAATTTCATTTTTCTAGGCGGTGTTGGAGAGCACATGGCCCTCCAACACCAGAGGAGGATACTTTCTGTGGGGAAAGCTGAGGAACGTGGTCCTAGGTGTGCTCCAGTTCAAGCGAGTGGGGAAAAAACAACAGACGCCACACAGAGATCCTCAGCTTTCAGGTAGGACAAATTATGACATGACACTGGGATGCATTAAATATATATATACACCCACAGTACTGATATCTGATATGGGGTACCCCCTTTCTTACGATTTATTCAGATAATTAAATGTTCCATTTTTAAGCAATTCTTTAACAAACATCTGTCGAATTATGCTCCATGCAGTCATTACTTAAGTTATTAAAAACAGACAGTTAGATATGAACTTTATTTATTCATTTAAAATGTGCCAGTCATATATAAGTAAGATTAGAAATAATAAGAACACTCTTTTGTAAACAAATTAATCAATCACATACCAGCATGTTTCAGGCCTATTGCCCAATATGATAACATACATAATATATCATAAACTCCCACACTGACTGCCTTACAACACTAAAACACACCAGTAGTCATTGGTCTACCTAAGACTTATTAGGTTTTAACTTTGTTTAAGATTACAAGTTCAGTAATAATTACTTTCCAACTAGTACTGAAAGTATAGAATCTTTCTCACAAGATGTTTTTAATTATTAGAAATGAAAATGAGTATGATCCGAGCAGTCGTTTCTTCTTTTCTGTTCTAATAAGAAGGTTTTTTCCACCTCCAGCACATACCATTTCCAGCCCCTGTTTTCTTTAATGACACTCATTAAACAGAGTGAAGAGGTTTTCCTCACCAGCAGACACAGCACACAGGTCCATCTTTATTCTGGTCCCTAATTCCCAGTCCTACTCTCATTACCATAATGAATGTTGTTTAAGGGGCTCTGATGAAAGCATCATGCTTTAAGCACATACTGCAACCTTGTTGTTTTTGTTCTTGAGAGTTCATTTGGAATTAATTCCCTTTTACATAGAGGATTGTATACAACGTTTAGAGTAGCATGGTCTTTTAGTTATTTCAAAAATAATTCTTTAGTGATTTCACAATTAGTGAACTGAAAATGTGCAGTATGTGATTTGTTCAACCTCCATTTGGCTCTCCTTTGAGTTGGGATATCTCCTTTGTAGTTCAATCCCAATTACAGCTATGTGGAATTCAAAGCACCTGTGTATCTTTGCATTTGGTGATAACGATTGCAGCACCATTCAGTGATTGTTTACACACAGCTCTTTACCAGCTGGGCTCAGGTCTCATAATCCTGTTGGTACGTCATGTGTTTTAATCATCCTTTTCTGTTATCTCCTTGCAGACGGCAGTGATCTTGACACAGTCAGTCATGGCAGTTTGGACAGTGCTAATGACTCTGCTGAGCGCACATCCATTGACACGGACTTCACTAAAATGGACTCCAGTGATGATGGATTTAGTACAGGTAGGAAACCAGAGTTTGCTTCCCTCGTTTTGAACTTTATCACTCTCATCTGTTAATTGTGTGACCCCTGTTACTCGTGTCTCAGCTTCACTCTGGAAAAATCGAATTTGATTGAATTCACCACCTTAGAAGTTATCAGAATTCATCAAATTGTCTACCTAAATGTCACTGTGCTAAATTTAAAATGTTAAAGGCTAATCAAATGTCATAAGTGATTGTGGCGACATAAGCACATCCATAACATCTTTACAGGTGCTGAGGAACAATAATATGCACAACATTTCTTATTATCATATTTTATGTGGAGGAATGGAAAACCATTTGTAGACAAAACATTCTCATGTCAAACATTGTAAAAAATTAATAAATAAACATTGTGAACAAGCTAGCATGATGCAAGTTTGTCCTGTCTTTATGCAAAACATGTAAATCAGACTTTGACATTAAATGGATTGGTTCCTTTGGCAATACTTAGATTATTATTTTGTCCTTTGCCTCACATTCTGACTAATAGTTAAAGGCCAGTAAATGCAACAGGGTTTATGGCTGTCTATCAGTATGATAAAACAATAACAATACCATGGATGTGAATCTGGCTTACAACTAGTTTTGTATTTCTTAGCAGAAAACAACTGTATAAATCAGAAACTCTGTGAGGATAACACGCTTTGTACACCTTTATGCAGTTCGACCTTGTGAATATGATGAAGTTTTTCAAAGAGTCCATTCCTCTCTTGCTGCTCCTGCTTTTCTATTCTGGGAGTGCTGTGTGATGTGAGCTGTACGGACTATGACTGCACTATGTTGAAGAAAAACTCTCTGATCACTTGTCACATATAAAGCAATCCAAGAATAGCTTGTTTCTGATTCACGCAGCTCTTTCTAAAAGAGGAAACTTAGAAAGGAGAACAAATACAACAGGAGAGTAAAACCTCTTGTCTTTTCCAGGTGGACAGTCAGACCAAGGCTACGATTCACTATCCAAAGAGGAAGAGAGGATGTGCACCAGAGATAGTGACAACACACCATCGGTGGAAGACAAAGGACCGAGGCAGTCCAGTGAGTTATGGATCAGATTCTATCTCTAATCGTTGACACTTAGCCTCCATGTCTGCAGTAGTGAATCACAGCTTACTGGCAGCAAAACGAATGCTCTCCCTCTAAAAGCTGCACTCTCTAAAAGCTGGGGGATCATATGGCAGTGTGGGTGTAGTGTATTCTCCACTCGTCCATTTGCTGTTATATTTAGATGTTCTTGAGAAAGACTGTTGATGGATGAATGTGTTAAGTAAGCAGGTGATTGTTTGCATGACAGGTATTGTGTTGAATGCTGTGCCTAATTACAACTTGCCATGTTTGATGTATTCTCTGTTCAAGCTTTTGTGATCAATGGTCATCAAAAATCGATGTGGGCGTTTCAGCAGAGTTACTTAATTGTTTGGGATGGAAATGGAATACAAGATATTTTATGATTGACCACTGTCCTCTAAGGCAGTGCTTCTCAAACTCTTTTCAGTAATGTAACCCTTTTGAAACATTTTCTCAGCCAAGTACCCCCTGACCGACCCGAACATTTTTGATCAAAAAAGCCTATATAAATGATTACAATGTAGTGATGTTCCCTCAGTGTGTGATTTATTAACTCCTTCGTGCATGCACAACAAACTAAGGATATTTTCATCTTCATGCATGAAAAAAAACAACGTTTTTATAAAACAGATTTTTCCAAGGAGTTTTTCAATTTAAGTCATATGTTTAACAAACCAATGAACAACATTATATATTGTGAAAAACTATAAAATACATACACATTTGAGGAACCACTTGGTGGTTCTAGGAATATTTTATATACAATTGTGTTTTCTATGTAACTTATTGTACTGAGATTATTTTTGTAATCATGCATGGTATTTTTTTAATTAACCTTTTTTTAATTTTATTTTTGAAATCTCACGTACCCCCTGCAGTACCCCAACGTACCCCCAGGGGTACGCGTACCCCCATTTGAGAATCACTGCTCTAAGGAACTAAGCAGCTGCCATCTACTCTTCTTCACTCAAATGCAGTAGCTTTATTCTTGCATTAACACCTGCACTACATAAACTGATGATTTTGAATTGATGCAAGCATTCAGATTTTAGAGGTGTGGATGGTTGTGCCAAATGCACACAGATATGTTTTCATTTTCTATCGCCTTAATAATTTCATTTCATTTTAATTTCACTCTTCAGTACCTGAGATTGAGGCTGCAGGCAGCAGCATCTCTCCTTCTACAAGAAACTGCAAGCCAACAGATATCAGAGCAGGTCTGCCAAAGAAAGAGAGGCCAAAATCTCTTGATTTGTCAGATGGACAAGGAAGTCTAAGGCTAACCGTCCCTCAACTAGGGTCAACAAAGCAGCATCACCTAGCTGCTGACAGACTGCACGGTGTAGAAGAAGAAGAGGCAGAGACTGATAATCAGAAACCCGGTGTGGAGAGAAGTGTCAGCTGCAGCGGTGCAGCGGAGAGGCCAGGAGGGTCCATGGAGAGGAGTGTCAGCTGCAGTGCTGGGACAGCGAGCAGAACAGGACTCCAGAAGGGCTTTGATCCCCTGTCACTGATGTCCTCTGATGCCGCAGAGTGCAATCACGAGAATGGAGACACGCCCACGGCCCGACGCGACCTCGCCGAGGAGATTGAGATGTACATGAATAATGGCAATAGTCCCCTGAGCAGCCGTACCCCCAGCATGGACCTGCAGAACCCCTCGAGCCCTTTGTTTCGCTCCGCCTCGTCGCCTCACACCTCGCCTAGACCCTCCATCTTGCTGCGCTCCAACACGCACATCCCGCTGCCTGTCAGGTCCAAAGAGAGGCTGAGGACGTCACCCTCTCTTCCCCTGGGTGTTTGTACCAAAGTCAGGGAGAGGCCTTCCTCCTTGGTGTCCCCGTCCTCACCTACTCCCTCCTCCTCCTCCTCGTTCTCCATGGACTCTCTGTTCACCCCAACTCTTGACATCTTCAAGAGCAGCGTGTTATCAGCCGGGAAGGGCGTGGCTGAGAAGGCCAGTCGCTTCTACTCCCGTCTGTCCTCACAGACTTCATTGACACAGGTTGGTAGTGGAGAACTTTTCTCCACGTTTACCAATGTATCTGCTGATGAAGCTACCCCTATTGATATTTCTCTTCTCCCATACAGGATGCAAACAGTGACCGGATAAGTGTCTGCTCACTGACGTCAGGAGAGGCGGACTGCTCCTCACTGCTTGATCATGACTCCTGTCTGGACCCAGACGGCTTCACCTCCCCCCAGCACGGCAGCGTGTCCCGCCTCAGGAGGAGCCCGGTTGTAGGTCATGCCAACCTGGGCAGCCCCAGCACCCCTGACAGAGTGTTCAGACACAACTCCTTCTCAGGTTTGTTGCACCTCCTTTAACATATTGTTGGAATAATACTGCTATAGCTTTGGTTTAACGATTAATCTAAAATGTTTGCCTCAGACGAACAACACAATCCATCTTTATTAAGAGCAGTTGGCAGCCTTTACAAAGGCATCAACAATGTGAGAAGTCATAGCTTACAGCCATGCTTGTTAAATTGCTTTAACGTTGCATTGGATCCCAGCAAAACACTCTTACGATCTAAATTTAGAGTTGTTCTCAATGGAGAGCGTCGGCTGCTCTGTTCAAACTAGGCCAGCAGCGGTGAGAGCTGATTCAGTGTGTAGGCTGCTCTGCACCCAGCCACAGGACCAATGCTAAATATAATGTGCATGCATACTTACCTAAACAAACCCATACACACCCATTTCAAATAAAGATTGCTAACCTGCAAAACAAAACAAAAGTCTGATTTGATTTGCCGCTTAGTTTTAATTTCTCCACTTTTGCTGTATTTAATCCAGACATGCAGCTTTAATCGTAATTTGAATCTTGGCTATGTCTTGTGTGTCTAATTATAAAATCCTTCATTGTATCCAGGTGGTTTGGCACTTCCTTTTAAAACTCCTCACACTCCAGATTCCTCCCCCGACACCAGATGCTTCCAACCCACTCCCAACTACACCATAGAGGTAAATTACTCTCTTATATAAATCTCTCATCTGGACACTATCTCAGAGTCTCATGATTGAATGTTACATTGTCTCTTCTGCTTCTTAATCCAGGTGCTGATGTCCAGCTGTTCACTCTGTAAGACGTGTGACTGTCTGGTCTACGACGAGGAGATAATGGCCGGATGGACAGCAAATGACTCCAACCTGAACAGCACCTGTCCTTTCTGTGGCACAGCTTTCCTGCCTTTCCTCAATGTAGAAATCAAAGACCTGAGACCACACAGCAGGTAAATTCTCCCTTTACACTGACTAGTATACGCTATATATTCCCATAGTACTTCAATCAATTCACTGAATTTACTGCTAATATAAGGTTGAATGTATTTGATCTCATATGCTAGATTGTTTTATTTGTATTGGCTAGCTGACTTGAAAAGTGCTGACACATGCACACACACTCAGACTTTAATCATTAATTCATATTCTCTGCGTCTCCTCTCAGGTCTTCTAAGGAGAGTAACCCTGTTACAGGGGAAGTCACTTCAGCGACTCTCAATCCCGAGACCAAAAAGTATTCTTCAGACGATGCAGCTCAGTCCTCTAAAGGTCCCGGGCAAGAACAGGGGAGCAGCGAGAGGGCAGGGTTGCCCCCGGTGACGGTGCCCTACCTGAGTCCTCTGGTCCTGTGGAAAGAGCTGGAGAGCCTGCTGGTGAACGAGGGCGACCAGGCCATCTCCTCCCCGAGTGTTGTGGACCATCACCCCATCGTCTTCTGGAACCTGGTGTGGTACTTCAGGAGGCTGGAGCTGCCCAGTAACCTGCCCGCCCTCATCCTCGCCTCCCAGCACTGTAGCCACGGAGACCAGGTAGACACGCAGGCATCTGTCAAGCACACCCACATATAAATTGTGTGGATTGACCCACAAGTCAACATTTTAATAACTCAGTAATGGTTTGACATTTGTGGTAAAATGTGCTCGGGAAGTTTGCTGTTCTCACTTTGTTGTCGAGTTAGATGTGGATATCGATAACACTCTTACATCTGTATGAAGTCCGACAAGAGATTGGAATCGATCTTCTTCTGTAATTCTCTCCACGAAAGTACATTTGTGTATTTCCCGAATGTCAAACGACTACTTCAAACCTCTTTTCAAAGAAAGAATAAAGTTCTTTAGTGACTCCTAGTGGTAGTAGACAGAACCAAGCAATGCATAAGAGCAGAACATTGACACTAGCCATTTTCTCTCTATTTTTTAAACAAATGAAAACGAAATACCCATGACTAAACGTTTTTTTTTGTATTCTTCCTGTTAGGGTTGTTACATACAGAGTATGTATTAATCGCTTAATATGTTTCACCCCTGCAGACTCCTCAGAGCGTTTCATACGAGGACAGTAAGCAGGTGCTTGTGAGGATAATGTGGGACAACCTGAAGTTGCACAAAGACAAAGTCCAACCCTGCTATGTCCTGTGGAACTCACATTGTAAGTTACAACATTTGTTTTTATGTCATTTATTTAATTATGTTTCAAAAGTTACATCGGCTTTAAATTATATTCTGCTGGCAAGTTTGATCAAGGTCAGATATTTACATGTAAATTAAATAATGCATATGAAGTAACCAGGAAAACATGCATTATTCAGTTCAGGACTCCTGTAAGTCACTCCGACCTTATCAGTGCTTTACTCTTAGAATCCTGAGTGATGGAGATGAATGAGACTTTGATCAGAGTGGCTTTTTTCTCTTGATCTGTGCAGGTGCAAACTCCCTGGTTCGCTCTGGGATGTGTGAAGAAGGGCAGCTCTTTACTGTGGAGCTCCTGCAGGGTTTTGTGAGGAGCATCAAGAAAAGTGATGTCTATCAGCCAATGAGCCAGATCATTCAGCTGCTGGGGCCAGAGCTGGGCTTTAAAAGACAGAGGTGAGGAAATAAAGGATTAAGCTTTCTGTGTATTAAAGATGATGTGTATGCAAAGTGTAATGTTTTTGTTTTCTTTTATACAAAAAGGAGCATGTACCGAGACTTACTGTTCCTCGCTCTGGTGGCTTTGGGAAAGAACAACATTAATATCAGTAAGTTCAAAAGCATGATGTCCTGTTTTTAGCCATGTCAGCTGGCGCTCTGTCAACTACTTGAAATATCTCTTAAACTGTTATATGGATTGCTGTGAAATATGGAACAGCTAACCATTTAGCCCAGATAATCCTACTGAATGTAATGACCCCTGACTATTCTACTTGCCACCAGCAGGTCAAAGTTGTTATTATCTTGTGAAATATCTCATTTACCGGAAGGATCCATTTGTGCTTTTATCAGCAAATGTTATCCTGCAAACACGCTATACGTCAGCATGTTAGCATTGACCGTGTGAGCATGTTAGCATGCTAACGTTAGCATTGAACTTGCCTCTGCGCAACTGGTTTTGTGACGTACAGCCTCACAAAATCATTGTCACTGCTATAAACTACTTTTTATATTTCAAATATAGTTAAATCATATATGACGTCCACATTTTTAACAAACTATTACATCTTTGCAGATGCTTTTGACCGGGAGTACAAGTTGGCATATGATCGCCTCACCCCCAACCAGGTAAAACTGACACACAACTGTGACCGGCCCCCGGGAGCAGGAGTCATGGAGTGCAGGAAGACTTTTGGGGAGCCCAGTCTGTAAACTACTTCTCCTCTTATGTCCCATTATAATTTTACTTCAACCTTTGGTCACTACTGTTTTATTTTTGGACTGCTCCTCAGACTCAGGGTCAGCTCACCTGACTTAGCACAATAGGAAAATGACACTTAATGTAAAGCAACTGCCACGAGTTTATACTGTTAGAACTGAGAGACATAGAGGGACGGCCTTGTGTTTGTAAATATTTTTAAGAATCCACTGTATTTTCATTGTAACTATGGTGAAATGTTTGTACAGTTATTATACAATCTATTTTATGACTTTGTTTCTGTTAAAGCTGTGACTATGTAAAAGCAAGTGTATGTCACATTGAAATTCACAAGTGGTCCTGGTGACCTTGTTAAGACTGTTGTTGAGTGTGTGTATAATAAGCACTTGCTTTGAGTCATTTGTGTTTTACAAAGCACTTTGACAAGATGAGCTCTTGCCATTCATTCCCATTACGTAACGCTGTGTCCCAGCAGCCTATGCTTAAGTGACTTTTTATTTGACAGCTGCAGGACTCACTGCACTGTTTAACATTTCCCTTATATGCAGATAATGAAGGCAAAGACATTCCTCCTAATCTGCACCCTGTACACATAGCAGGGCCATGCTCATATTCCTGAATACACTAAACTAGATGGTAACAAAAAATATAAAACATTATTATTTCTGAATCAAGAAGGGAGTAGGCTATGTAATATTTGTAAATGCACAATGTTTGTTCATTTATCTTTTTTTGCAAAATGTACCAAAATAACCCAAAAAGGGAATAATACTTTTATGATTAATTAACATTTTTTAAGCAATACTTTTTTTAATGTAATGATGTATGAGATAATGGGACCACCAAGGATATATTTCCTTAAAATGAGTAAAATCAAACTTATAATAGATGAATAAAAACAGAACATATGGTTTTCTGTTGGTTTAATCAACACAATGTTTTTGATAAAGAAAATAATGTATTGACACAGTAATGGATCTTTAAAAATGTATCTGATTCTTGTATTTGGTACATTTCCTTTTGTTCTTCACTGTATAGAGTAGATGTCATTTTTACATATTTGGACAAAAGTGCACTGTTTAATGTGACATACAGAACAAAAAAGGACATTTTAAATCTCTTTGAACAGATGATGGCGCACTGAGAAGATTTAAAGATGTTAATGTCAGGACGACAGCTCCGACCTGCCCTACTTCAAAATCATTTCGGAAAAATGTGTGTGATGGTTCACCGTGTTACAACTGTCTTTCACTTTTAACTGACAAAAACCTGCCTAGATACCACAGCTTATTACTGGACAAACCACAACAATTTATGATGATACGATGTTGGATTAAACATGGCTGTGTGCTTGGAATAAACACCAATATCACAACATGGACTGTACATTTCCATTTTAATCACCTTACAATCTGTGACAAAAAACAAACACCGATGACCAAAACATTTGATGTGTACATGTTGTTTACACTATTTGTCAACAATTTTAATGACATATTATTTATCATTTGTAACACAGATAATAATTTGTATGATTTTTATATAAAAAAAAGAAATCAAATTTCTTCCCTGGCTGGATCTATAGTTTGCTTTCATTTATAAATAAAACACATTTATTCTACAGATGTTCAGTTTGATCATTTCCAAAGTGTGTGTTGCTATGCCTGACCTTTGTTTTATAAAATGCATGACATAACACTGAGTTCAAGCAAGCTCATTTTCTCTATAATGAATGTTATTAAACACATGTTGGTGCAAGTTTATGCACACAGACAATAACAAATGCACATTTAGAAACCATCAACTTGTGCATATTCTAGATGTCTAATTACTTCCTGTAGATGCTGCTTTTTAAACAGTGAAACAATCCACGTTGGTCTTCATTCTCTTCCACTTCCTACAATATATTACGTAATAGTAAAAGATGCAATTGTTACAAAAAGTGAGTATGTGACAAGTTCTAGGAAAGGTTGTAGTATGTGTTTAGTTGCCGTCATACCAGACACATTTTACTGGCATCAATGCAACTACAGTAGCTTTCTGCACAGTTTCTATAACTATTTAGATCTATGTTCATGAGATCCGTGAACATGGATGCTCGTCAGCTTTTGCTCACACGTTCAGATAGAAACAGGGCAGACAATGATGCGATCCTCCAGCATCACACTAAGCACCAGGAAGACAAGGTAGAGCAGGAACATGGTGAAAGCCAGCCTCTTATTCAACTTCCAATTACAGGATGCAATTGAGATGATGACAAAGAGGAGCATGATGAAGAGCAGCACGATGGCACAGAAGAGCCCGTTGCTGCTGACAGCCATTGGAGCAAAACCGTGGAACGATGAGTACAGGAGCCATGGCACTGGAAGACTTATGAAACAAAGTGACAGAGCGAGAAACACAGAAAAATAGGAGACCATGGAATTAATCATCTGAGTGTTCATGAGAACTTTTTTGTATGATCGTGACACAAGAGGATATTGCATCTCACCCCACTGTGATGTCGAAGATGTTGCTGCCCACCGAGCTGGACACAGCCATGTCCCCCAGGCCTTTACGCGCCACGATCACACTGGTGATGAGGTCAGGGATGGAGGTCCCTGCAGCCAGGATCGTCAGGCCCATAATCTCCTCTGAGATGCCGATGGTCTCACCCACCTACAGGGGCAAACTAGAGTTACATGTTCATAATACATGCATTGTGTAATAGAAAAGCAAAATGGACGTCTACATTCATAAAATGTTGTTTGCCATTATAAAAACAATGTTGATGCAGTTAATCACAAAATATCCTGATTCAAAATACCTTTTAAAAGATTAAATTAGTTCAATATATTATTTTTGATTGGCCCAAACTACTATAATGTGTGTACAGATGATGACATTTTGGTTGGTTATTACTTAATGCAAGTGTTATTATTATATTTTCATTAAAAAGATAGAAGCTGGAGAAATGTGTTACATATAGCTTTCAAGTTGTTCATTATAAACACAGCAGATAAGTACAACACATGGGTGTTATTATGTAATGAAATTCAAATGTATTAGATTTTGTTTGTATTATTACATAATAAGTTGTGTCCATTTTCACATTTCCTATTCAATCTCTAACCTAAACTCCAGTAGCTGACCTGATGGGCCCACCAAACCATGAAGTAGGAGAAAATGGCAATCCAGATGATAGAGCCCAGAAAAGTGGCGACAAAGAAATGTCTGGATTTCTGTTCAACAAAGTAAGAGATGTTATAGCAAAACACAGTGTGGAGATATTAAAGATACAACAGCTTGTCTCAGAAATGCTTCTGTTTTTACCTGGTTGCGAACATCTGGAACTGTGAGCCACAGAGGGAAAATGATGGGCAGCAGGAAGAGGTAGGTGGCTTGTTTACGTCGTGTTTCAGGCCACTCTAAAGACAAAGGCTCATCTTCTTTCTCCTCTTCTTCTTCATCGCCCTCCTCCTCATCTTCTTCTTCTTCTTCTTCTTCACTGGACTCTTTGCTATCTTCTTCACTGTCATCTTCCTCACTGTCAGAGCCTCCTGACCCATCCTCTCCTGTTGGCACATCCTCCTGACATGAAGAAATCATGATGAACAGTCGAAGCAGAACAGAAATAAAAGAACAACCAAAAGAAGCCTAAGGTAAGAGACCTTTGCTTATAGTTGTTGCTACATCAATTTTTGACTCTTACATAGACAGGTATCAAAGACTGACTTCTGGGCTTTTTAAGTACCACCAGGAACCGGGTAGAGAGTACCTTCTTGTCCTCTGCGTGATCCTGCTTATCCGGTGCTGGGGCCGCCTCTCGCTCTTTGGTCGCCTCAGATTTATCTCCACCATCTGTGAAAGGAATCCCAAAAATGTTGTGCATTTCCCTGATGTCTCTTTAGCTTTCTGAAACACTTCCGATTCCAAGTCTTTAGGGCCAGTCATATGGAGAAATGCAGTGAATTTGCTGTTACATGATAAATGATGTTATCCTTGTGGCAACTGAATTAAATGAACTGTCTATGAATATGTATTTGGATGTTATCACACACTCCTTTAGGCCATTTGCTTAGTCTTTACCACCCTTTGTGTGTTTTTGTAAGGGTATATTGTACCTGTATGCAACTTGATATTCTATTTGTTTTTTACCTTAACAAGTATACACTTTTCATTTTACTTTCTGCAGCCCAGCTTTGAGACTCTGTTCATGAGCAAGTCACAAAGTGTCTGACCATTACATCATTCCACATTACCTTCACGTTTGTCTTGAGTTTTGTTCTCTGTCGCCCCTCTAGCCACATTATTCAGCGTCTCAGCCTTATCCTTAAATTTCCCTGCAAAAAATCAGAAATAAACTGAAGATTATACGAGGAACAAATTCAATTTCACAGGACAATGCCCTAAGCCCTTAATAAGTTAAGCATTTGAAAAAACTGGCAGTAAAACATAATAACCTGCAACAGCATCAACATATTTTCTGCAGCACAGAGCAACGTCATGAGAGGACAAGTCCTACAATAAACAGCCATCATACGGTACATAAAGTATGCTCTTACCATTTGTTTAAAATGGACAAGTATGTATTGTTTTTATTAATAATTTCAATAATTTGCTGTCCCTTTACCACGGTCTCTCAGGCGATATACTCCCCCCTCAAGTAAGCATCATTTATAACAGAGGTCGATATTGATTACCATGCAGTACACGGTATCAGAACATACATTTGTATATAAACTTGATTTGATATAACATTTAAAGCATGTCTAATTTTGGAGTCAGGCTAATACATTGGCTTCCGGCTGTGATCCAGAGTTTGTGGCTCTTGAAAAGCTTATTATTGTGTTGGAGTGTTTGCTGCCTGGAGGCCTAAGAGGTATCAAACCAGGAGTCAGAGCGAACAAATTTGGGACACATATGCACATTGTTGTACGAGACACGACTAACTTCTCAGGGAAAACCATTTGAAAAGCTGTTAAGGGTGAGTCTTTCCTCCCATTATTTGACCAGCCTTATATACAGATAAATGAGTAAATGACTAAAGGTGAATAACAATAATCTGTTGGCAGAGACAGCTGTGTTTTTTGAGTTTTTTTCCACTGTGGGCCCACACCAGATGCCACCATAGACCACGGTATTTATCTGCTTAGTATACATCTTAATTAAGTGCTTTTCCAATAACAAGGAGGAGGTAGTTGCCAACCACTCTATACAGGAGCCCTTCGAAAGGCACACAATGAGCAAAGATGAGGGCATCAGTGTGGGGATATGGCACTCACCCTTTCCTATAGGGTCCAATGTGTGGATCATGAGTTGAAAGACGGTGTTTCTCATGGTGCTGTTGTGTAAGGAAGCTGAGCTCCCCCCTCGCTGAAGGGATGGCTTCAACTGGGAAAAGAGAGGGCCGATGACACGGTAGCTTCTCATAATTGCAAACAATGAAACATCAATGAGAGAGAATCGTGTTGTAGTGGATGCAATGCTTTTGTTTTTTTCTTAATAACATAATGAAGCAATTGAAGGAAGGCTTGTTTACTCCAAGTTACGATAAATGCAACTACAGAAACATCAATAAGATGTAGGATAACATGTAGATAATTGAACATTGCTAGTGTCTATGAGGATATGGTTATTTGTGTCTTTCTTTTTGGAGTTTATAATTAGTTTTTTTACCTTTAACAGATTATTGTCCCCTTGAGCAGGAAGGGCATTATGTTCAGCGTCACCGTTTATCTGCATGGAACAATGTTTTTAACATAGATCATTCATAGGAGAGATTAACCAAAGTTTTTTCATTTTGTTAGAGCCTAAATATATGTCAAAAACAACTTAGGGAGTCTTGTTTGTGTTATATGTCAGAATAAAAAGATAAAACTCTGTTTCATGAACAGGATTATGATTTTATGAAATCATACCTCGTTCAATTACATGAAATACAAATAAAAACCCTCTAGGATGATTATGTATGATGTAATAAAGCATTGTAAATATATTAGATAATTACATTTGCTGGACATACAGCTCCATCAGTAGAACCGTGTGTGCTCATAATGTAGAGCTCCAGATCCTCAAAGGATTAGTTTATGTCATTGATCAGCTTTGGATCCACTAAAGCCTTTGCTAGAATCATTTCATTCTTTGACAAGATTTGCATAAAACTCCACAGGTTGCAGTAGACATGTCACGAGTGATGAGTAGTGTGACTTTCTGTTACCGTAATAAACTACACTGAAACAGAATGATGAATGAGGGGAAAGGACACGTTTCAAATTTAAAAATGTTCTTATGTTTTATGGACTAAACATATCACAAGATTTGCAAATGTGAAACTCATGACGAGATTTTTTTGTCTTCAATAGTTGGACATATTGTTATTTGAAGCTCCATAGATTTGTTCTCAATTGCATACCGTGGTAATTAAAAAAGAATGTCACACAACACTGATTTAAATGCCTTCAAGAATCATTGTTGTGTCAATTAAGGACATGAAAAACTCAAATTAAGATCAGAGTCATTTTCTGAGTGCTTACCTTTCCAGGTTCCCCTACAGCAATTCTCACAATGTTCTTGTTTTTGAAGAGTAGGGACTTGAAGGTTTGTTCAATTTGCACATTAAACTTCATGAAAATCACATAGACAGTGTAACAGGCCAGCAGCATCAAGCTCTCCCACCACATTATGACATTATCCAGGAAGAAGATGATGAGTAAGATAAGGCCAAATATGTAGAAGGATCCATCTCTGAAAAGTGGCCACCAGGTGAGATGAAGTATCTCCCGTGAAAACAAAGCACACATCCCGATCACAAACAAAATGTTGAACACAGCTGAACCAACGATTGTGCCGATACCCACATTGCTGTGGGCGATGAAGACTCCTATCAAGGAGGTGAACAGTTCGGGGGCAGAACCTCCAGCAGCCATGAAGGTGGCTCCTGCTACATCTTCAGAGATGGCTAAAGTCTCTGTGATCACCCCCAGCGCAGGAACAAAGAACTCATCACACACTATTGCAAGTGAAATGAACATGTACAACATCCCAAAAACGTGGAGGATCACCCAGCCTCGTCTACGGTCTTCAACAGAAAATAGATCTTCAGGGTAGTCTCCCTTCAAGTGTGGAGCTTCACCAGGAAGAGCTGGAGTTGGTGAAGGTGTCTCCTGTGGAGGCTCAGGTGCCACAAAGATGCAATGCACCATAGTCCGTTTTGTAGTTGGTGATAGTGGAGGTTCAGTTGGGGTGAATGCTTCAAAATTTGAATTTATATCCGAATGTGCCACATGTATCTCTGGCGTTGTTTGATCTGTTGGCTCAAATTCATGTGTTGCAGTGAGAGGTTCCTCCGACCCCTGAGTCTCTACTGTGGCCTCATTGACCCCTTCTGTTGAACCTTCTCCAAAATCCTCTCCAATCTGAGGCATTGGCAAAGGCTTGTACAGTCTGGCACTGATAGTCAGCTGGTAGAGTGTACAAAGAAAAACCCCGGAGAGGAGAAACAGGACCCGGCAGAGATGTAGTCGCTTCCTCCTTGCACAAAACATTTTCCCTCCAAAGCAGTGGTAATACTGGCTATGGAGACACAACAACTCCAGCTCTCTCCCCAGCAGACCATGGGGCGACAGAATCTAAAACTCTGGTGGCGTGATTCATGGCATCCTCAATCCCTTGGCAGCCTGTTGTGTTTCGAAAGAGGCATCAGAGACAAAATGATTAGAAAGCAGGTTGCAAAGAATTAGGTTTCATTTGAAAACATTAGAACTATTCTAACAACCACTGGACTATTAAATCAATGTCTATCATAGTATTAGTGATAAGCTCATTTAGAAGCAGCTTTATCTGCATGTTGGTGTTTTTTTCCAAAACAGAATGAACAAAAGGAGAGAGGTGAAAACAAGAAAATAAAATAACCATTCAAATAAATGTCCCGTAGAAAGGGGTTAATCTAATTTCTACACAAATCACACAGAGAAAAACCCAATGAATTTCATTTAAAGAGGCAGACTTACCACAGAACCAATGTCTTCCAGAGTCGAGGGTGAAACAATATCTAAAGTCAGATTTCCCCTGATGGTTATTGTGGTGCAAACAAGTCCAAACTGATGCAAATGGCTGCAGTGCTATGTAGGACACGGGACGAGTCTTTACAATGGCTCAGCATAATACCTGAAGTCTTCTAAGAGGATTATGTCCATTGTCTCACTCTTACTTTATCAAGAGCCTACCTCTGTAATATGTAATTTAAGGCAACATACACATTGTATTATCTGGCCATTGGTAGTAAAGATTGATATAACAGACTAGGGATATTTTCCGTGCTTTTATTAAAGAAATAAAAACTACTAATCAAATCAAATCAAATACAAATGTAAGAGTAATGAAGTTGGAAAAAGCAGGCTGAAGACATGGGCATATTTTATTTTAGTGATATATTATCTAAATTCTCTATTTATATATTTCAGTATACGGTTATTTGTTTTTTTCATGTTTCTTTGATATAAAATATAAATGTAAAAATAGTCATACAAATTATATATATCTAGTTTATATGTATTATAGTAGGTATTTTTTAACTTTTGGAGCAATAAGGTATTTTAAATTCCCAAAAATATGTTTTCAATATCAATAAAATCATCGACATCATAGCAATCATTTCAATCATGAGGACATGGATGTGGTTATAGTGTACAAATATGACTAATTTAAACTCCCTACAGAACTGACCACACTTCATTCAAGTTTACATCACAGTTATTGGGAAGAGGCAGTGTAGCAACAGGTTTGAAAAGAGAACAGAGATCAAAGTTCTGCATAATGACCTGGACATATCTTTACTTCATTTATGCAACAGAATTTATCTGCAGCCTCGGGTCACAGGAAAAGCTGAGTCACATCTAGCATTATTGGCTAATCGGACATGTTGCAATGTTGGTGCATAAAAGAGATGCAGAAGTGTATGTGTTTGTAGCATAAAAGTTGCAGATTAAACTGTCCAATCACTCCAATCACAAACAAAATGTTGAACACAGCTAGACCAACGATTGTGCCGAGGAAGCCAAAAAACGTAGGAGCGGATCTTCCAGCAGCCATGAAGGTGGCTCCTGCTACATCGTCAGAGATGGCCAACCTGTTTGTGATCACTCCGAGTGCAGGAACAAAGAACGCATCACACACTATTGCAAGTGAAATTAACATGTACACTATCACAAAAATATACGGTCTTCAATAGAAAACAGATCTTCAGGGTAGTCTCCCTTGAAGTGTGGAGATTCACCAAGAGATTGTGTGGTATTCAAATGATGAGCCACATGCTTCTCTGTTTCATCTGTGGGCTTTAATTCATGTGTTGCTGTGAGGGATTCATTCAACCACTGAGTCTGTACTGTGGCCTCCTCGACCCTCTTTGTTGAACTTTCTCCAACATCCTCTCCAATCTGAGGCATTGACAAAGGCTCGTTCAGTCTGGCACTGATAGTCAGCTGGTAGAGTGTACAAAGAAAAACCCAAGAGAGGAGAAACGGGGTCCATCTAAGCTGCAGTTCTTTTGTTTTTGCTAAACACATGTTGATGTGGTTTTGGAGACATAAACCAAGAGGCCTGAATAGGCGACAGTCAAGTCCAGCTTTCTCACTAGCAGACCAGGGAGGTTCAGAATCCAAAACTTCAGTAGTGTCCTTCTTGTCCCATTCTGTAATCCAGCCTATTGTAATAATAGATAACATGACAATCAATCAGCAGGTGGAGCACAACAAGTTTTTTTGCAAGTATTCGATTATATTTAGATAATATATTGTTGCCTGCCATAATAGAGATATGAACATAAGCTATTTGTGTACTTGACAAAAGTCATTCTCCACCTGTCACAAACAATAACGCATTTTAACACCATTACTTTCACAAAGAAATTGGAACCACAATTGCAGGACGATGATAGTTATGGATTATGTATACCCCGAGTCTAAGAGAATTATGTTCACTGTCGTAATTTATTAAAAAAAAAACCTGGTCATTGGAGCCTGACAGACATGTGCAAGATTGTTTCTTTTTAATATTAAATGACTGTACAAAACACAGTGACAGTGAGAGCTGCCTTACGGACGATTCTCACTCACTAGTTTAATCATAGGATTCACCAACGTTTTAAATCCTAGGACTCTTACCAAATCATTAGATGCCAAAAACTAAATGTGCATTTCTGGCATGGTACCATATTCCTCTTGGACGAGCTTTCACAATCCTCACTTTTACAACAAGCACAGTTTTTTTTGGACAAAAACAATCTCATTTTCCAGCCCCTGCCCCTGGATGCTAAATGTATACTCTAACCTTGCATGTATTACCTGCATGAGGCGGTCAAATTCATAAAATAAATAATTATTGTATTTCCCTTTTATCTATAACAAATCTAAAATCACATAGGAACTATTTATTCTAGAGACTGCGGTCACCCGGACGGAAGTAGCGTTGCACCTTACAACACAAACAACACTGGATGGCGAGTGAAACGTTGAATGGCACGTATATATTAATATTGTTCTTACATAAATCATTCTCTATATAGTGGAACGTATATATAATCATCATCTCACGCTCGTTAAATATCAAGCAACATAGTTATTTCATTATGTTTCAAAATGCTAGCGTAAGTTAGCTGAACAACTAGCTAACAACATTAGCTAACAGTAATCTGCTGTGACATGTCTTCTGTTCAGCTTTCAACGTAGTTACTTGTCGTTGTTTGTTCAAATGCATTTCAGAGACAGATGCCACATATTTTAATATAGCTAACTCCTGCATCTTTGTTTGTTTCTTTTCCTTCAGTGGGAGCACGTTGGAGGGTACTTTAATTCGAATCCTGGTGGTCTTTATAAGCAGTAAACCATGCCTACCGTGATCCTGATGGACGTGTCTCTGTCCATGACTCGGCCGGTGTCACTGGACGGCGGCGACGAGTTCCAGAGGAAGAACCTGGCTGTCCACGGACTAAATATGTTATTTGAACACATGGCCTCAAACTACCGCCTGGAGTTCACATCACTGATGGCCTTTTCTTCCCTCTGGGAGCTCTTGGTGCCTTTCACTAGAGATTACAATGCATTACAGGTACAATGATAACAATGTGCATCTAATGACGCCTGGTAATCGAAGCATATGTTGCTCTCCTGATTAACCACCTGCGTTTACCTCAGTGAAAACCAGTCTGACTTTGGAGTAGATTTAAGGATTTTCTAATAGATTTTTTTGTGAGTGCAGGAGGCTTTGGGCAACCTGGAGGACTATGACAAGACTTGTGTTGAATCAGCTCTTAATGGAGTTAGTAGCGTGGTACAGCAGGAGTGGGGCAGTGCCTGTCCCTGTCAGGTAATGTTGTCTTTATACAAGATCATCACACATCCCTTTGATTTATAAAGCTGGTATTTCTTTTCCAAAGTGATTTCAGCCATTTATTCTTACAGACGATTATGTTGTTTACTTTGTCCTGCAGGTGGTGCTAGTCACTGATGGATCTCTTGGTATTGGAAAGGGTTCCCTTCGTCAATCCCTCCAATCACTGAAGCATCGTGCGGATGACAAGAAGTTCCCCCTTCCTTTCCCCTTCCCAACAAAAATGTTCATCATGTCTATAGCCAATGCAGAGGAGGTACTGAGCGAGTCAACATTTACTTTTCTATTAGCTTGTATCCTGATCTGGACACAGTCAGTGTCAAATCATGTATTAAATCTGTATTTTACGTCAGCGGCTGGTTACAAACAACATGTTGTAGCCATCTACTTGGTTTTTATATCTTAGATGTTGTTGAATAAATCCTATGATGAAAGAATGGTTGGTTGGTTTGTTGCTGGAAAGAGTTGCCAACATGTTTTGCATGGTGATGTACTTAAAGCAGTGGTTTTAAATGCTGATCCAATATTTGACTGTGGGGAACAGGTGTGAATTTTCCTCCACTACGTCTGAATTCAAACTTTAAATATTTTATTTTAGCACATTCAGTTTTTGTGTAATTTCTGTCGTAAGTAGCAACCCTTTTCTCCAGTGTACCTTGAAACCATGTCAAATAAAAGCTAGTTAGTGCTTGCAATACATGTCCCAGCTGTTCAATGCCACCTCCTTTCTTGTGTACTTGCAGCTCCAGACGACTGATGCCATGAACAACTTGGAGGAGCTACTTCATCTGAGCGGAGGTGATGGACAGATCTTCACTATGGAGGGACCTCTTTGCATGAAGAGTGTACAGGCCATGTTTGGGTAAGATATCAAATGGGGAAATAGTCCAGAATTTGTTGAACTTCTTGTGTTATCTGTTTACTTAGGTGCCTTTGAACATGTCTCTTTGTTTGTCTTCAGGAGGCTGATTGATCACGCGTACTCTCCCTTCCATGCGGTCCTGCACTGTGGGAACCTGTCCTCAGACGTTCAGGTGTTCCCTCGGCCGGAGCCTATAGTGATGGATGAAGAGGTGGACCCCATGCCGCGCTCCATCAATCCAGGTACCTAGATCGTCTCAAACGTCAGTTCACGTTAATCCATGTTTTGCTATAACTC